GTGGTGGCAAGCACAGTGCACACATTTAAACTCCCCATACCATGGGAAAGCATTGAATCAATGTCATGTCATGTGATCAAGTTTTACTTGGTCAGTAAAGCAATAACGCCCCTAGTGGCTGTCATGACAGCCACTGACTTAACCCTGCATAGTTTCTAAAAACTGCAATGTTTTGCATTGCCGGGTTGAAAGGCCAGTAACACTTCACCTAGACCACTTCATTACGATGAAGTGGTCTGGGTGACTAAATTGTCCTTTTAGAGTAAGCATTATACAGAAATAATGTATGTACACTTTGAAAAATTTGACACATATAATAGTCGCAATAACTGTAAACTAATAAACAAAAATACACAGCAACTTTGTTACTTTTATTGAAATCAGTAAAACAGATCATAACAATGGCATCGAGGCAAGGACTTTTGAACTCCAACATCCAAAAGCAACAGGTTCTCAGGATAATATCAGAAAACCGGAAGACATTGGACAAAAATCTTTTGGATCTTTAACATTTGATGTTAACTTGTTAAACGATTTGGGATTTTGGAACACAGAGAAGATTTCCCACAAAGGACACTATACAGTCTGCATGTTAATTATAGATATGATCATTTATATAATTCACGCACAGTTTATAGCACTGTTCTACTATGGGGGACAACACTTTTAAACATTTAAGTTTGTATCGAAATGGCTCTTTCACTCTATTTCTTCCCGAGTCATTTTCCTTGATGAATGTGTCATTTATGTTTTTGTTTTTTCAAAGTCAGTGCACCATTTTGTGGTAAGTCTCAGAGGATATTGATTGATAGGTTGATTGAGAACACCTAAAAACTTACTAAATATTCATGAGAGACATATTATATATAACAAGAGAAAGGCAAAATGACTCTCCATAATGAAATGTGATTAGTCATTGTTCAGATGATCAAAATTCAATAATTCATTTTATAAGAAAGGATCACCAGGAGTAATGATGTAAAAAAATAAATGAATTGAAATGTTACACCTGGCACTTGGAACACCCATTGCTCATTCTCTTTTCATAACTGTCTCTTTAATTGTTGTTGACTAAACAACACCCTTTTTCTATTTCTTTGATTTTCATGAGAATATAGTAGCAGTTTACTTTCCCATAAGCTCCTGTTTCTAGATCCCATTTAAGCATAATTAAAGCCCTCAAGCAATATATCAGGAATAACCATTTAAACATTTTCTGTAGTTTCTATTTAATATTTTGTACTAAGCCTGCAATACAATATCATTAACGTTTTTGCATTCTTTGATTTCAAAACCAAGTGCACTGCGGTGTCAGGCTGAAGCTCCTTTTATATTTACAAAGGGAGGCGTTTTAAACTTCTGTGAAGGAGCCAGAGCCATGCCTGTGATGTGGCTAAATTAGCAGATTGTTTGCTTAGGGAAGATCCTCACAGGCTGTTGATCAAGGTGTTTTGATGATAAATATAGAGAGGGTGTACATCAAAACAAACTAAGGTGTATGTGTGTTGTCCTTGCTGAAATATAAACTCAATTTAAGCCTTGAAGTGAAGGTCACCCGCTCACTCCCATGGGGTTGTTTAAATAAAGTTATTGTTTCATATGTTGATTGCTATTGTTAGTTTACATTAGCAGTAGCAACTACATTTAAATTAGAGAATCTTGTCTGTGAAACATGGGTTCTTCCACAATTCAGCAAGACCGAATTAATGGTGTTTATTCACTAAAAAGAGAATTTATCCACTGTGCTCTGGGGACTTAAAAAGCATATTGCAAACAGGAGATTTTTTTATTTTTCTACACTGGCTGTTTAAGAATAAAATGTGCAATTTCCTGGTTAATTTTCCAATGTTCGCGATTTATTAAATGAATCCTGGTGTATTTGGCTGCTTATCAATGCAGAGTTTGCCTGTGATCACTATCTGTGTCTGGATTATCACTATAAATATTCACTCATTTTGAAATGCTCTCTATAATCCCATCACTTTTATACATTGCTAAACAGAAACTTACAGTATAGAGCAGGTCTTGAAATTTACTCTCGCCCACCAGCCATTAGCAAGTGTAAATCCATCCTTGGCAAGTAGAAACCCACCTGTGGTGAGTGTGCCATGGACCCTCCAAGCTGGCATTGGGAGTACATTTTAAGCCTTGCTAGTAGTATAGGACTTACGTTATTGAGTTGAGAGATCCAGAAAAGTGTGAATGACTAAAGATATTTAATAAATAATCTTAATAATTAAAGGGACACAAACCTGTATTCATGACCCTATAGTGTTGAAACCACAATTTAGGTGGCTTGGCCACTGTTAACTCTCTTAAAAGGTAATGAATCTTACCTTATTTCCAGCGCCGGCACTGGCCCCATCCCGATCTGCCTCCTTGCTGATTTAGGATTTTTAGCCAATCATAGGGAAAGCAGATTGGCTGAAATCGTCAAGGAGGTGGGGCGGGCCCAACTCTATGAGGAAAACTCAGCGTCTCCACGCTGAAACGCAGAAAGCACCTCCAGTGGCCATCTGAGTAGAGGCTAATAGAGGTGTCCCTAGGGGGAAATATAAACACTGCCTTTGCTCTGAAAAGACAGTGTTTACATGAAAATGCCTGCAGGGAATGATTACACATACCAGAACAACTACATTAAACTGTAGTTGTTCTGGTGACTATAGTGTCCCTTTAACTGTACAGAATCCATGATTGAAGTAGAGGTATTTCATGTCTAGGTATGTGGGCCCTGATAAAAGAAAATAATTAGTTTTCATGCTATTTGTAACAGCACTTCTCATTATCATCTGCCATTAGTTGGCATATTAACTCTGGAATATTTTCTGTATATTTTTTTTATTATATCCATCACAAAGCATCCCAATCACAGGTAGGGATAAGCAACTTCTAAAACTGTACAGGACATCCCTCTAAGACTTCAGGACCTCGCATCAGTGGCGGATCCAGGGGGGGCAACGGGCAATTCCCCCCACCCCCCGAGATTTTCCCCTGTCAGCTAATGCAGGGCTGGCATTGTCCAAGTGCCAGCCCTGCAATGTGCCTGCGGACCGGGGAGGGAGATCAATGATCTCCCTCCCCGGTCCGCAGGCACTGTGCTGGCAGCCAGCAGGGGAGGGAGAGGGAGTGAGAGAGGACCCGGGAGCTCTTACCTCCGGGTCCTCCTCTCGCGAGCATGGAGCATTGCCGTGGTTACCACGGCAACGCTCCAAATCTCGCGAGAGTAAACTCTAGCCCTGGAGCGTGGGTTAGAGTTCACCTCACCACTGGGACCACCAGGGATTCACCACTGGGACCACCAGGGATGGAGAAATGGAGAAATGTCCCCCTCCTCCCAGTAAAGGTAAGAAGGGAGGGGGGAAATAGATTTATTTTATTAAATAAAAAAATTAAATATTAAAAAGCCTCCTTTCCCCCATTCAAACACTGCCCTCATACACACACTACACACACTGCCCTCATACACACACTACACACACTGCCCCCATACACACTACACACACTGCCCCACAAACACACACTGCCCCACAAACACACACTGCCCCACAAACACTGCCCCCTTACACACACACTATACACACTGCCCCACAAATACTGCCCCACAAACACTACCCCATACACACACTACACACACTGCCCCATACACACACTACACACACTGCCCCACAAACACTGCCCCCACACACTACACACACTGCCCCCATACACACACTACCCCACAAACACACACTTCCCCATAAACACTGCCCCATACACACACTGCCCCACAAACACTGCCCCCATACACACACTGCACACACACTGCCCCATACACACACTGCCCCACACACACACTGCCCCCATACACACACACTCCACATACACTGCCCCACAAACACTGCACCACAAACACTTCCCCATACACACACTGCCCCACAAACACTTCCCATACACACACACGCCCCACAAACACTCCCATACACACACTACACACTGCCCCCATACACACACTACACACACTGCCCCACAAACACACACACACACACACTGCCCCATAAACACTGCCCCCCATACCCACACACACTACACACACACTGCCCCCATATACACACTAAACACACTGCCCCACAAACACACACTGCCCCACTAACACTGCCCCACAAACACTGCCCCATACACACACTGCCCCACAAACACACTGCCCCCATACACACCCATACACAGACTGCCCCACAAACACTGCCCCCATAAATACACTACACACACTGCCCCACAAACACTGCCCCCATACACACACTGCACACCCATACACACACTGCCCCACACATACACTGCCCCAACACACACACACACTGCAACCCTGACATACACTGCTGCCCTCACGCACTCGCACACACACTTCACCACTCACACTGCACCTTTCACACACACTTCACCCCTAACACATACCACTGCTCTTATGCCCTATATCCCAGCAGACCCCAGCTAAGTTGTCAAACTGTTCTTAAACGGTTGACTACTTACTCTGGGATGGGATCCTGGCACTACTTGCGCCATAACTACTACATTGAGCTGCAGTGGTTATAGTGCCTGGATTATTTCTTTAAATAATGTACAGGTGCCCCTCCCGAGAACAGGCTCTGGATCCGCCACTGCCTCGCATAGCCCCTAAACACTTTAATTAACATCCAATTTTAGTTTGACATAGCTAGGCTCAAAGCATTGTAAGTTGCAGTTAACTGAAGGAGACACAACTTTATAAGATACACGTGCAATTGCTATAGTTAAAATGTAACCCTTTGAACAGAAAAGAGCTCACAAAGCACTGTGTTATCTGCTCAGCATAGGTCCATATTTATCCAGGCAATTCTGGGGCTAAAATGCTATATTAGGAGCAATCGCCAACAACAACTGCTCCACATTTACCTTAGGAATGCCTTGATAAAAATATCCCTTGGTGCTTTCTGTAATGGACAATTATTTTAAGAGTCTAGAGAAAATAAAAGGAATCTGAAAACATCTCACTTCAAGGCTTGGGTGCACTGTTTCATGTATAATTTGAGGTCTGGGTCCTTTTCATAAGACTCTAACACTGTTTGTGCTTCGTCGTGGTGATAACAGTAGATTTTATACACGTCTTCCAGCGGGCACTTAATCTCCAAGAACAATTCCCCTGCAAGCACAGAGATAAATACCTTAGTGAAGACAATAGTTGCAGTGATTATACTAATACTTTATTGCCTGTCAGCTTAGTTCTCCTGCAGTAGTAAGCCACCAGGTTCATAAAATACTATAGGGAATTTCAGCTTTACCATGGCACTATTTTCTAGTTTACCTCTAATGGTTAATTGCAGCACATACACTCGTATTAACGTTGGAGCAATTTGCGTAATCCTGGATTGTCTCCATTTTGTAGGATTTATAGTGTGATTTGGAGCTCTGCCTGGTTTGTTCTGTTTTGTTACCTATACGTGGATTTAAAATCATTCGAGCCAAGGGCAAGGCAGTTTTATTTAGCTGCAGGATAAAAAAAAGAAAACTTGTGTCTTGCCAAATTCATGCAACCTAACATTTTAATTGTGATACATCGGAGAGGCAGTGGATTGTAACAGGGTAACCAAAAACCAGTAAGAGGGGTCTGAACCTACCAAAGTGGACATGGGGAACTGAGGGGAACGGACCTGGAAATAGAGTGAAGAAGAGAGTTTGAAACAGAATGGGATGGAGGATACATCTGGAACAAAGTTTATAGGGGCTGGGATTCTGAACTGAGTGGAGGTGTGAGCAGAGTTTGCAGAGTGGGGAAAATAGACATTGATGCAGAGAGAATGAAGCCCATGGAATAGCAAAGCTAGGTGGAATGGGCCTTGACAGAGCTAGGAGGCTGGCCTATGGATGAGTGTGTCTGGATTGGTTAGTGGGTAAAAGGGGGAGTGGCTTAGACATATAATAATTCGCCATTTTAAATTTGGGTTCCATTTTAATTTGAAATCTTTACCTGTTGTTAGCTGTTGCTGGCTTCTGGTGGGGATTTTTTCTTCTTTGTTTTTCAGATGGATTCCGTGGCTGAGAGTGATATGACAGCAATCCTGGAGGGTGTGAAGGCAGCGGTCCGACAGCATGGAGCAGCTTGGATGGAGCAGCAGTTGGGGGCAGCACTGAGCGCGGCAGGGCCGGCGCCGGCGCGCAGGACAGCGCGCCGGACCAGGCCTCCACAACGCTTAAGCCCTGATGCCGGTGCTGGCGCGGTTAGGAGCCGCAGCCCGTCAGCAGGCATGACAGGGACCTGCACCAGGAGAAGTGGCGGCCGGGCTAGGATTCGCGGAGGTGGCGGCCCGGGGGCGATCACACACCACGGCCGTCAGGCAGAGTCTGAGGTGTGCGGTCAGGAGAAGATGGTGCCGCGCCGCCCGGCGGCGGTGAGGAGCGCAGTATCAGCAGAGGCAGTAGACCTGTTACAAGCAGCAGGCTCTGCTAGGAGCAAGGAGCAGGCAGCTGGACGGAGTAACCGCGGTGAGTCGTCCCCTGGGGCAGTTAGGGCAAAAAGGGGGCAAAAACAGGGGTTGGTAAATGAGGCCCTTGCAACCCAGTCAGGTTCCGCTGAGGATGGGGCAGCCAGCAGGGGCTTGGACAGCAGGGGACAGTCGGCACCTACAGCCTATTCCAGGGTAGGTAGGGAAGCGCCAAGAATACACAACAGGTTGCAGGCTAGGGCCAGGCCGCAAGCACCCCTCCCCGCAGCGCAGCAGTCACAGGCGACGGGCCAGAACAAGGATCATAGGGCGCTGGTGACAGGCGGTGGGGTCACAGCAGGCAGTGGCATGGCCCCCTCCCGGCCTGGTGCAGGGGTGGGGCGCTCTAGGCCAACGGATCAGCGGGCGGGCAGGGATTGCCGCGCTCAGGAGAGGACAGATAGCCCCACAGAGCGGCGCAGAGACAGTGGGGGGGACAGGAGAGCTAGCCATCGCTCCAGGAGTGAACGGCGGAGCAGGCAGCGCAGTAGCAGCGGGGAGTCTGCGGATGGTCGTTGCCGTGGCTCACCTGTTCGGGGAGCAGTCTCGCAGGAGAGTGCCTCCAGGTCAATGAGCAGGGGCTCTCCCGACAGGCGGAGCAGAAGTTTTTCCGGGGATAGATATGGCCGTAAGGGCCAGCATGCCAGGAGTAGCAGTCCATGTAGAGGCCCAATGGGTGAGGTCATGGAGGATTTGGGTTCTGATGACGGCCTCCCCAGTTTTTCTTCTTTCGTTCGCAGGCCATTGGATGTTGGGTCAGCAGGCCGCAGGAGGCCTCAGGACAGCAGGGATTTTACAGCAGCCTCGCCGGGAACATCTCACGGCGGAGTTCGGGATGCAGCCCCAGGATCAGCGACACCAAGGGGTTTGGTCGGTGAGTCTCACAGTACACCACACTCTGGAGATTTGTTAGAGGGTCTGAAAACATTTCTTGCATCATGGAGTTCAGGTTTGGATAAGGGGGCTTCGTTTAGCAAGGCTTGGTTGCCGGGGTCGTCGGGTTTGGGGTCAGGGGAGAAACCAGTCTCCGAACGGGCCGGGAGCAGTGCAGGTGAGCTGGTAGCAGCCTCAGCGGGGTCAGCAGCCACAGAAGTGGCGGCTGAGAGGGATATACTAATGGGGGAGATTCCAGATGCAGCAAGGCAGAACGTGCATGTGTCGTTTGCGGGGCCGTTGGGGTGTCACCTAAAATTAGAGGTTAAGGAAAGGTTATGGAAAGGGGAATTTGTGGAGATCTTCTCCCTTCTCCCCTTGGAGGAATACCTAGACTTGAAGGAAGAAGACAAAAAGGATCCCAAGAAAGAGGAGGAAGAAAAGCGGCGTCGTTATAGGAAAATCCCGAAAACTTTCGGGAACTGGCTGGGGCCTTTTGCATACTGGCGAGTGTACTGGGGGAAAAGGCCCCGGAAAAATGCTCGCAATTCTTCTGTTACTTAGACGGGGTGTGGGAGGCTTACCGCACATACGGGGGCCTAGCATGGTGGCGGTACGATGAACAGTTCCGTCAGAGGCTTTCGGCTAAGCTGGGAATGAGGTGGGACCAGATGGACCTGCCATTATGGATGAAGCTAATGATGGCTCAAAAGGCGGCTCCCTTTCAAGGGGGGCTGGCGTCGGTTCCTCTTCCACCTCGTCGGCTGCGCAAAGGAAGGGATGTTGCTGGCTCTATAATGAGGGCCAATGTAAGTGGGGCTCCGCATGCCGCTTTAGGCATGAATGCTCCGGATGCGGTGGGGGGGGACATGGTTACAACCGGTGTTTCAAGAAGGGCAAGCCCACTCCAACAGGCGCGGCCGGAGGCGCTGCAGCACCATCCGCTGCCTCTGGGGCGGTCTCCGGTGAGGGTAGACGCGATGCTCCCTTGGCTAAACAGCTACGGTAAGCGGGAGGATGCCCGTCTATTGTTTGAGGGATTTACAAGGGGTTTCATCATTCCCTTCAGGGATCGGGTTGTGGTTCCCCGTTTCCGTAATTTGCGCTCAGTGGGCGAACATCATGATGTGGTATGTGGTAAATTGCTTCAGGAGGTTCACCTGGGACGGATGGCGGGACCGTTTAGGGAACCACCGCTGCCGGATCTTAGGGTTTCCCCTTTAGGCGTAGTGCCTAAGAAGGAGGCAGGAAAATTTCGCCTTATCCACCATTTGTCATACCCGAAGGGGTCATCAGTCAATGATGACATTGACGGGGATCTCTGTTCGGTTTCCTACGCATCATTTGACCAAGCGGTCGAGCTGGTAAGGGAAGCAGGACAGGGAGCGTTGTTGGCTAAGGCGGATATAGAAGCGGCTTTCCGCCTTTTGCCCATTCACCCAAAGTGTCACCACTTATTAGGTTGTTATCTTGATGGAAACTATTTTGTGGATCTGTGTTTTCCCATGGGATGCTCCATTTCATGTGCGTACTTTGAGAAATTTAGCGCGTTCATGGAATGGGTAGTGAGGGAGGAAGCGGGCACCAAGTTTGTGGTCCATTACCTGGACGATTTCTTGTGTGTCGGGCCGGCTGGCTCTGACGCTTGCCGCTTTAGGCTACGGTGTCTTGAATGGGTCAGTCAGGTATTTGGGGTACCTCTGGCTCGCGACAAAACCGTGGGGCCTATTACATGCCTGAGTTTTTTGGGGCTTGAAATAGATACGGTCGCGGGGGAATGCAGATTACCACGAGATAAGTTGGAGTCTCTCCGCGATGCCATTTCAGAGTTGCGTAGGGCAAAGAAGGCGACACTGCGGGCTATACAGTCTTTGCTGGGGCGGTTGAATTTTGCATGTCGCATTATCCCGGTAGGAAGGGTATTCAACCGGTTCCTCGCCAAAGCCACGGCGGGTGTGCGGTCACCTCATCATTTTATCAGGGTCACCGCTCCGATGAAGGAGGATTTGGGTGTGTGGGAGGCCTTCCTGAGGGATTTCAATGGGCGAGTCTTTTTTAGGGAACAGTGTATCGAATCACCCGAGTTAGAGCTTTTTACCGATGCGTCAGGGAGCGTAGGCTTCGGGGCTTACTTTGCGGGTCATTGGTGTGCGGAAAGATGGCCCGAACATTGGGCGGTTCAGATTCGGAACTTGGCTTTTCTCGAATTGTTCCCATTAGTGGTAGCGCTCTCCTTGTGGGGCCAGGCCCTACGTGATAGGAGAGTGGTTTTCTTTACGGACAATGTGGCTGTCGTGGAGGCTGTGAACAATCTTTCGGCGGCGTCGGTCCCAGTAGTGCGGCTGCTTCGCCAGTTTGTTTTGTATTGCATGCAGTTGAATATTGTTTTTCGTGCACGTCATGTTCCTGGATTCTTGAACGTAATTGCTGATGCACTTTCTCGCTTTCAGTGGGAAAAATTTCGGGTGGAGGCTCCGAACGCACAAAGGGAGGGTCTGCCATGTCCGGATCACATGTGGCGTCTCGGGACCTCCTGCTTGGAAGACTGATAATGGATTCGTTGGCTCCGGGCACGTTGGCGGCGTATAGTAAAGTATGGGAAAGGTGGGACGAAGCATTAGGCGGTACGGGGGACATGGTATCCGCAAAGGTACGTCTCGATACGCTATTATGGTTGCTTTGCAGGCTGTTCGCAGCGGGGGCTTCTCCGGCAGTGGTCGGCCGGAACCTGGCAGCATTGGCGTTCCTCTTCAAGCTTCGTGGGTGGGAAGATTCGACAAAGTCCTTTATTGTGCGGCAGGCAGTGAAGGGTTACCGCAAAGGGAAGTTATCACCTGACACTAGGAGGCCGGTGTCTTTTAGGTTGCTTCAACAACTATTGGGTACCCTGCCGGGTTTATGTTTCTCTTTGTTCGAGGTCTTGCTATTTAGGGTGGCGTTTGTATGGGCTTTTTTCGGGGCTTTTCGGGTGAGTGAGATTGTAAGTAGCAACAGGCTTAGACAAGGTGGTCTCCAGTTCGCGGACGTGGACGTAGGGGTGGAACAGGTAGCTATTCGACTACGGCGCTCGAAGACGGATGTCTTTGGGAGAGGTCGTACGATAAAACTATTTTCAATACCTCAGGTGGAGGCTTGCCCGGTGGGCAGTGCTCGGCGATATGTGGAGCTCCGTCCGAAGGGGCAGGGTTCGTTTTTTCGCCATGCGGACGGCTCGGCGTTGTCGAAATTCCAGTTCAACAGGGTCTTTAAGTTGGGCTTGGAACGCCTGGGCCTGGATCCCACGCAATTTGGCACCCACTCCTTCAGGATCGGGGCTGCCACAGAGGCGGCGAGGTTAGGCCTAGGGGATGAGTTAGTTAAAAAGATTGGGAGATGGGAATCGATCAGGTTCCGTTCCTATGTCCGGCCTGATCTTTTAATGTAAACAAATTTATGTTATGGGATACAATTACGGTGGTCCTGTGGTTATGAATTATTTCTTTTATTTCAGGTGGAGTCGCATGGATAGTAGGCCATTCATATGTCTACTGGGCAGAACGGAGAGCTGCAGTTCGGAGAGAAGGCACGCAGCTCGGCTTTCCTTCTGATGTGTTACGGTTGTTCTGGTTTGGTTTTCGGGGTTTCGGTTGGAGAGATACGTGTTGGAGTTATTTCGGAAGATAGGTCAAGGGGAAGTCACCGATTTCATATTGTTCCACACAGGGGGGAATGATTTTGGTCTGGTGCCGCAAAGGGAATTAGTTCGTGGGATAAAGAGGGACGTGGATAAGTTGAGGTCCTTGCTTCCCGGGGTGGTTATTGTTTGGTCGGAAACGGTACCGCGTTTCCAGTGGCGTCATGCGCGGGATTTCGCAGCTATGGCGAGATATAGACGCAAGTTCAACAAGTTGTTGGCAACTTTTATTAAAAGGTCTGGGGGGGTAGTAGTGAGGCACAGGGAACTAGAGGATATGTTACCAGGATACTTCAGACATGATGGAGTTCATTTATCGGAGGTGGGTTTGGATTTCCTTAACTTAGGCTTTCAGGACGGTCTTAGACAGGCCCTGTTTATTCGGGGTGGGGGCGCGCAGGAGGCTTGAGGTGGTCAAGCTCTGTGCTGTGGCGGGGGATGGATTAGGTTAATTGGGGGTAGGTCGGTTTTTGGTAAGTGGGATAGGTCAGGAGGAATACTTACCTTTAGATTTGGTGGTAGGTTCGAGCTCGGCGGTAGCTACGAACCTGGGGGTGTAGGGGTGTCTCGGTATGCCCCTACACTGGAAATGGATGCCCTTGGTGGCTGGGATAATGGTGTAGCGGTGTCTTGGTATGCCCCTACAGTGGAAAGGGATGCCCTTGGTGGCTATGATAATGGCGTAGGGGTGTCTTGGTATGCCCCTACAATTGGAAATGGAGGCCCTGGGTGGCTATGTTAAGGTTTATGGTATTTATGCTATGTTATACTGTTAGTTAGATGTATTCTGTAAATATGTTGGAGGTCATTGTCTGGGTATTTAGTTATGTTAATTGGGGGGATGTCTTTTCAAGCGTTGTTGACAATGACCTTTTAAATTTATATTTTATTATTTATATATATTTAATAAAGCCGTGGAATATTTTGCCAATTTATTCATGTGTCTGTGATTATTAAAGGTTATAATTGGTTTATAAAAGGAATAGGCCGAAAAAGACGACAATGCGCATGTCATGAAGCCCATGGAATAGCAAAGCTAGGTGGAATGGGCCTTGACAGAGCTAGGAGGCTGGCCTATGGATGAGTGTGTCTGGATTGGTTAGTGGGTAAAAGGGGGAGTGGCTTAGACATATAATAATTCGCCATTTTAAATTTGGGTTCCATTTTAATTTGAAATCTTTACCTGTTGTTAGCTGTCCCGCCCACCCTCCCTAATTTAGTTGGTTAAGGGCTAAGAGTCATGACTCTCCCGTTTTGTCACGGCGGCGGGGGATGGATTAGGTTAATTGGGGGTAGGTCGGTTTTTGGTAAGTGGGATAGGTCAGGAGGAATACTTACCTTTAGATTTGGTGGTAGGTTCGAGCTCGGCGGTAGCTACGAACCTGGGGGTGTAGGGGTGTCTCGGTATGCCCCTACACTGGAAATGGATGCCCTCGGTGGCTGGGATAATGGTGTAGGGGTGTCTTGGTATGCCCCTACAGTGGAAAGGGATGCCCTTGGTGGCTATGATAATGGCGTAGGGGTGTCTTGGTATGCCCCTACAATTGGAAATGGAGGCCCTCGGTGGCTATGTTAAGGTTTATGGTATTTATGCTATGTTATACTGTTAGTTGGATGTATTCTGTAAATATGTTGGAGGTCATTGTCTGGGTATTTAGTTATGTTAATTAGGGGGATGTCTTTTCAAGCGTTGTTGACAATGACCTTTTAAATTTATATTTTATTATTTATATATATTTAATAAAGCCGTGGAATATTTTGCCAATTTATTCATGTGTCTGTGATTATTAAAGGTTATAATTGGTTTATAACAGGAATAGGCCGAAAAAGACGACAATGCGCATGTCAAGGAATAGACATAATAGACCTAACCTGAGTATGAAATTGTATGTGTGCGAAGGACTGGTGCAATGTGAAGGAGAGACTTGGGTACAGGGACATTGGTAAGTCCCCAAAATAACTGGAGCTTGAACCCAAAAGCAAAACTGGATGACTCATCCACAAACCTCGCCATTGACCCCTCCCCAAATACATCATCATTTCAATATGCAGTTAGCTCTTTATACCAGCTATTTAAACTCAACTCCAGTTATCCTTTTCTTCACCGAGCGCCTTCACAACTGCACACACTCACTATACTCTGCGATTCAAACAGAATACTTTACAAGTATAAACATGCACATGCATACATATATACATTTACAGTTGTCAAATCTGAATATATGTATTTCCAATGTCCAGTTATTAAATTAATGGCATTCACTTTATCTGCCTTTTTTGTGGTGGAGGGAGGGGTGCAGAGGGTGCCTTAGAATTCTGTGTGTACAGGCACCTGACATGTTAATTTAGCCCTGTACTTACCCAGCAAACACACTCCATCCCCAGTACAAACACACACTACCTACCGAGCACACACTGCATCAACAGTACACATGCAATAAATTCCCTACACATTCGGCATCCCTTATATCCTACTACAAGCCCTACACACACTGCATCATCGTCAAACACGTAATATATTCCTAACACACACACACTGCATCACCAATATGCACTATATCCCCTACACACACTACACTACATTAAACAGGGCTAGGAAACCTTCTGCACTCCAGTTGCCTACCCCTGCCATAGACAGGCACTGCATCTCCTATACACAGAATGGAATACTAGAAATTGAAATGGTAAACTAAAAAAACTTTTACGTACCTAGCACTTGATTGTCTGGGTCAATATCTGTTGTCGCTTCTTCTAACAAAGACACCAATTTGGCTGATATTTGGCGTACAGATTCAATGTTGCTAAACAGGATGTCCACATCAAACCGCTCAGACTGAGGATAGAAAAGGGATAGAGTTATAAGCGTTACAAACATGTATAGTATGCTCTGTAGTATAGACACTGTTACATCCACTACAATTCAAATGTTTCTATTATTTTGTATTATGTGTAATAGTACAAATGCCAGATCTTTTGTCCACCCATTGTAAAGCGCTGCGGAATTTGACGGCGCTCTATAAATATCATAATAATAATAATAATAATAATAATAATCTGTTAATCTGAACACGTAGCCTTGGAATAAAGGTAATGCTGGTATTGAGCTGCACTTCTTATTTGTACAACAGTACATCTCAATCTCATGCAATAAAGTTTATTTGTAAAATTTTGAGTTCTGAATAAACTAACAAGGTTATTCACTAAACGCTGGATTTAGTCCGAATGGACAAAATCTGGTGAAAACAACCGAAATTTCTAGCACATTGACATTTCTCAGATTTAAATGTGGTCACGATTTGGTCAGTTCGATCGATTTTGTAGCATCGGTTTGGATGAGTTTGGTTAATCACTAATATCCATATCCAAACTAATTTACAGCACCAGACTATGTCCCCCTCCCTGTTCACAGACCCCATGTCGTTTCTAGCGACTGGGCAGAGTCACTAGTTTTAAATGTTTAGTAGACATGTCCCCATATGTCAGAAGCTACAATATGGGGTAAGTAGTTAGAGTCACAACAGGTATAGATCTCTCCCCAACTTCCATTAAGGATAAATGTGAGTCCTAGTCAGTAGTCATCTGTACATAGACTGGAGAAATGTCTTATTAGCTGGCTAGCAGTGAAAACTTGGAGTAGGAGTCCAGGCAAGAGAGAGCAAGAGGAGCAGCAATTTGTCCCAAAAGCCTTTCCACATCAAGCAGCTGTGAAACGACTAGCTGAGTCTGAGGGAACTTGGATAAATTCAGCTCCTTAGAAAACCTCCTAAAATGAGCAGTGAACTGCTCTGTATTCCCCCTATGCTGACAGGCAAGTATAACAAAACTGAGGTTGGAGGAACATTACCAAATCCATGCACTCCTCAGGCAATTCCTGAGCTGTAGAACTTTGCTCGCTTTAGTGGTTATGGTGCTGAAGTGCCCTGGTAAACCCCAATCGAATGTAGTTCAACCATATTAGAATGGTTTGACTTCTTACCTGGGGTCCTCCGGGTGCTGCTCCTGAAAGCTATATTGGTTATGTTATTTGGAGGGTTGTTTTTAAAGGGACACTATAGTCACCAGAACACCTACAGCTTAATGTAGTTGTTCTGGTGAGTATAATCATTGCCTTCAGCTATTTTTATGCAAACACTGCCTTTTCAGAGAAAAGGCAATGTTTACATTGTCCCTAAGGACATCTCCAAGTGGCCGCTCCTCAGATGGCCACTGGAGGTGCTTCATCAATGCTGCACAGTAGGCAGCAGTGCCGTTCAGCGTCTCCACGCTCTGCATAGGGATACTGAATTTTCCTCTTATAGATGCATTGATTCAATGCATTGATTAAATGCACAGCTATAACGGTGTTTGGCCCCGCCCCCTTGCCGATTTCAGCCAATTGGTTAAAAATCAGCAATTCTGATTATGTCACAAATGGGGCGGGGCTATTGCTGGCAGACCTGCACAGCACTGGAATTAAGGTGAGTTTTAATTCCTTTTAAGAGGGCAAAGGCGGGGCAAGCCACCTAAATGGTGGGTTTAGCACTGTAGGGTCAGGAATACATGGTTGTGTTTCAGAACCTATAGTGTTCCTTTAAGTCAACTTTTTAAGTCAAATACAGTTGGAAACTATAGATAAACAAAGCTTCATGTTATGATTTCCATGCTATTGGAAAGGGGTGTTGGAGCAGCAACATCAGTCACATCTAGACTGTAAGCTTGTTTGAGCAGTGTCCTCATCAATTTACTGTTCCTCTTACATTTTGTACTTGTCTCATTTATTGTAAAATTTCTCCCTCTTATAATATTGTAAAGCGCTGCGGAATATCTTGGCGCTATATAAATGCCAAAAATGAGAAGAATAATAATTTAAAAAACACATGTATTTGATGTGCTGGACAGTAGGTGGAGCTATAGCAAATGTATATTGTTATAGAGTGAAGATTGTTCCGTCATCCTATATCTATATAAATAGCTGACAACACACTGGTGCCACTTGTCCTGTAAACATATATCTGGCCATTGCTTTGTTTGACATTCAAGTAGATTTTACAGAACACATAAAGTATATTAGTCACCTTTTCTATTCCTAGTATCATAGGAATACAAGCCATATGTATTACATTACCTGCAGTCAATGACAGCGTGTCATTGTTGGAACCAACGATAAGAAACCAGCCTAAGATTAATAAACAAATGTTAAGGAATTCCAAGTGAAATTCCTGCAATTATATTTGTTCTTAATTAAAGTAATACTATAAAAGTATTACAAAGATGAATTTCTAATGCTGTAGTGCCCTAACAACTTTTTGGATTATTAGGCCCCTCTTGTGTGAATTAAAAAAAAAATACTTACCTTTACTCCCCAGGGGTGCCACTCTCCATTCAGGTGCTCTGCCTAATGATCTCTGCCAATTCAATGCTTCCCAGTTGGAAAGCATTGAAAAGCTAGGGTGCATGTGCAGCAAATCACCGATCTGCACCAATCAGAATCTACATACAGAGCTACATTGATGCAATGATGCTTAGTGACAGCCACTAAAGGTTGAACTTAGGCAGTTATGTAAACACAGTCTTTTCTCGGAAAAGTAAGTATTTACACTTCTCAGCCTCTCGGCATGGGCTCTAGACACCATTGGTTCTCCTGCCTACAGTGTCCTTTTAAATATTCAATGTATAGAATTGTATGTGGATTTAGGCTTACATACATATGTTTCATTCATTATGTATTTTCTTAATGCATGTTGTTTTAACAGCTAGATAAAAAGAAAAAGTCGCAAACTTACTTGATGGTTACGGAGTGGCTGTACTACTTCTTGAATGCAGAGCTCCAAGTCATTCAGAAAGTCTTTTTCTGTCTGGATCAGCTCACTGATAATCTTAGCCCTCTTAGTCATTTTCCTGAGTCTCAGCTCTTCTGTGTCTTGTGTAGGTGATGTTGGAACTGATGCCGCAACATTTGGTGCCATCTTTTCTATTTAAATGGAAAAAATGGGAACAATAATGAACATTGTAATGAAGACACATAAGCATTGTCCGATACTCCTGATATTACGTGTGGCAGATAATAGCTCCATCTCTGCCATTTCATATTGGAGGCTGGCCTTTTGGTTGTTGAGGACTGAGAATTACTGCTAAAAGGTGAGTAAACTGTTTATTAGCGATAATGGGTAGACTCCTAGATACTTTTTGTACTGAAATGCAATTTGGGCCAAGCAGGTGATTGGTAAACTTCCTGATACACAGGGGGAGACCGAAGTGCCAAAACGCTAACTTTGAAGTTAAACGGTTGCCAAAAATTTAACCCCTGAAGTAAGAAGGCATCAAGTCATTCCTACCCCCATAACAATTTCAATAAGCTTAAAGGAGCATTATAGGGTCAGGAACACAAACATGTATGCCTGACCCTATAGTATTAAAACCACCATCTAGCCACCCTGGTCCCCTCATGCCTCCCTAAATATAGTAAAATCTTACTTGTATTCAAGTCTGGAGCTGCTTACTTTGTCCCTGTTTCCTTTTGACCTGCCCCCTGCCGGCTGACATCATCAGAACTGGTAGTCTGATGAGATGCATTTAACCCCTTAAGGACCAAACTTCTGGAATAAAAGGGAATCATGACATGTCACACATGTCATGTGTCCTTAAGGGGTTAAAGAAACAAAAGTCATAAGTAATGATGATTTCCCATTAGGTGGATCAGAACTGCGGTGAGTATGTTCCATGTTCCTTACGGGTTTGTTCTTTTAATGAAACATGTAACCTGTCTGTATCTAAATATCGAGATGAAAGTTGGAGGTGTCAATAATGGCTAGTGTCTAATACAGGGGTAGGCAACCTACGGCACTAGTGCCATGAACACGCTCTGGCCTATCAGGAGTCCCAGTGAAACTTCAGATATTTGCTAATACAAAGACGTGGTAAAGGACAATCCTCAATTTAAGCATTGCAACATATAGAGGAAGTGATCTCAGATCACTTCCTCCCAGCACTTGTGAATGGGAATCCACACCGTAGTAGAGCAGCCTGCAGCTGCTGTTGCAGCTCCTGTCCTTGACCTGTACCTGGCCAGCCAGGTCCCCACTGGAACCCAGGGAAGCCACACACACTGCTAGATATACACATAAATGCAGAATAACCCTTCCTTTATACAAATAATACAAACAGCCCACACACAAACACAACACACAATCTGCACAAACTCAACACCACTGACAATCCACACACATGCACACAACCCCACGTGCAGGCTCTCACATGCAATACCCCAAACAGCCCACACACACTACCAAACACACAATGTGACATATCCATCCACACACAATTCCACAAGCAACCCCCATACACAGCCCACATTCATATGTATCATACACGATACCATAAACTACTAATGAACATATACAATATAATAGCTCATATACACACAAATACAACAATACAAACCAATTACAGTAAAAATAACACAAGCAGAATATGGAAACATGCACACCTCAATTTAAAAATAAAATAGGATCGGCACACTACGGGACATCACAATCCTATATCGGCACAGCGCTGCTAAAAAGTTGCCTACCCCTGGTCTAATCTGAAGGTGTTGGAGGACTTACTGCTGCAGGTATCATTTTACTGTCTGCCCTCTAACTTAACTTCCTCTCTCTTGATTTACAACCATTTTTGATATGTCACATAAAGTTTGTGTTTCTGGTTTTATTAAATCAGTCTGTTCCTGTTTAAGCAAACAACTAAGTAAGGATTCTTAATTAATTAGCTTCATATGTGTGCCCTACCCTGACTTCTACATATCACTGCTGTGCTAATACAACTCTACAACATTTCTACAGGATGGTCTCTATTTAATAGGGATTGTAATGGTGTTAAATGGGTACAGTCACAATATGATTGTGAATGTGTCTGTTGTTGCAAAACCTTAAGTGCATTGGGTCCGACACAATTCTGCCCTGGGTGCCATAAAACCTAGGTGTGCATCTAAGATGGATGAAAAACTTGAATCTTTTCGAGCGATTATTCTTTAAAGGACCACTCTAAGCACCCAGACCACTTCAGCTTAATGAAGTGGTCTGGGTGCCAGGTCCAGCTAGGGTTAACCCATTTTTTTTATAAACATAGCAGTTTTAGAGAAATTGCTATGTTTACAAATGGGTTAATCCAGCCCTCAAATCCTCTAGTGGCTGTCTCATTGACAGCTGCTAGAGGCGCTTGCGTGATTCTCACTGTGAAAATCACAGTGAGGACACGCAAGCGTCCATAGGAAAGCATTGTAAATGCTTTCCTATGAGACCAGCTTAATGCGCGCGCAGCTCTTGCCGCGTGTGCGCATTCAGCCGAAAGGGAGGAGAGGAGGAGGATCGGAGGCGGAGAGCTCCCCGCCCGGCGCTGGAGAAAGGTAAGTTTTAACCCTTTTCCTCTCCCCAGAGCCGGGCGGGAGGGGGACCCTGAGGGTGGGGGCACCCTCAGGGCACTATAGTGCCAGAAAAACGAGTATGTTTTCCTGGCACTATAGTGGTCCTTTAAACTCCTTAGATCACAGCAGTAATAACCACTGCAATTCGTTTTTGTAAAATGTTGTTTTATTATTGTAGGTAATTAGCAAAGCACACATACAGAGGAAAGAATAAAACAATATTGCATGAAGTTAACAATATGATAACAACATTAAGGTGTATAAATTGTATCTGCAATGGCGCTTCTTAATTATGAGTGAACAAACTGGGGTGGGAATGATTGTGAAGTCGTGTCCCAAACACATGCACACAATTAATGTCTGTGTTGAAGAAAGCAGCATAAGGCCATCAACGCTAAATCACATAATGATTGACTTCATGACGTATGTTGTGGATCAATACTCTGATATGTTTTGTAACGCTTTTTCACAAGGTGTATGCAACATGGGAGTATATATGACAATATCAATTTAATAACAGTACATCCTCAAGTCAACATCACTTCAGTACCTATATAACAGCGCTGCTGAGTTTGTTGGCGCTTTATAAATTATAATAATAAAATATTTACTCAACAATTCAATGTTGATATAAAATTAACACAACACGTTGCAAGCACGGCCGTCGAACCTCAGTATGTTGGAGTCAGCCATTCTGAAAAATGCTCTGGCATTTTACTATGTTTGTGTGTATGTATTCCTTTGATGTGGGAATAATGGGCATGGAGTAGCACATCCCTTGGCACAGTGTCCGGTAAGAGTTTAGGGTGATGTACAAACTTTGGCAGATTTGCAGCTGATACAGATTCAGGGATCCTTTCAGGATCCATAAGTAAGTTTGCTTTCTTCCAGCCGTGTTACCAGGTGCTGTACTTTGTTGGTTACAGCAAACTCACTGAGTTCATTTTCTACGTGTGAAGTTTATGAGCCCTGTTCAATTAACTTTCCTCAGGTTTTCCACACTATTGTACAGGGTATCTAGCACCGACTGCAGAAAAGCTGTTGTAATGGGCTTGCCCTCCTATAATCCATCTGTGTTGTGTATGGGGTTGCTGCGTCCCGACTCTCCCCATGCTTTGCAGAAGATCTGCTGGTTAAAGAAATTCAATTGATTGGCCTTATCTTGTTGTCTCCTAGCTTTGCCTTGAGACATTCTTTTTTTTAATCATCCCTAATTTCTGTAAACTATGCGTATTTGATAAATACCGGTACCCGCACAGTGGAGCATGAAATCAGGTATTCATCCTGCATGGCAAGCGGCAACATTCCTCTCCGTAATCTTTTTTTTAATGTATTTATTGAAAATGAGTAACTAAAAATAAACAAGCAGTAGTACTAGTGTTGTAATGGAAAAGAAAACTAGAATGAAGAATAGAGCTAACGTTACACCAGCAATGGTGTGAATAATTCAATTTCCTTTTTAAGAGACACCCCCGATGCAGAAGCCTTAAGACACACAGCCGGTCCTCTGTACCGTCTACACGCTTGAATTACAGACTAAATTCTACGAAGACTAAGAAACTGTGTCAGAACTAATCACAGCATATGGCAGCCAGGTGCAATGCGCTGTTCATCAGAGCTTGTGTTCAGAGTGGAAATAGTAAGTTGCACAAAGCTGAAACATATGGCCTCAGGTGCTGTGAGGTAACATTTTCCTACAGTCTATGATAAACCAGAAATGCTTGTTATTTTAGTCACCTGACTTTCGAGTGTCACAATGCTTTGCTATGTTTTGGCTTATGTCCTTATCTTCCTTTCTCAGCATGCCATGTGTTCTCCATTATGACAAGGAACCCTGATATTTTTTCTGGATTTATTAATCAAGAGAGATCACACAGCCCCCACACATATGAGTGTTCTATTTTTAAAGAAAATGAAGGACTCTGTAAGGAATAGGAACTTGAGAGTGAGCTTTGCATGCAGTATGGACAGGAATAAGGCAACAACAGTGGAAGAGAGTAAGGAATAGTTTTCTTCATCATGCATTCACTGTACCTCATTTAAAAAGCATAGTGGGATTGTTGTCACATGCTAGAATATATGATAATTAAAAAAATAGGGCAAGAAGATGAAAACAACTACCAAGGAGAGGAGGGTGAGCAAGGAACATGATGTTTATATGGAGGAATAAATACCAGGATAGATGGCATGGTTCATATATATATATATATAGTAGTGGGTAAGTGACAGACGAAGGGTGAATGTATATTACTGGATTAAGGTAAGTGACGTGGTAAGTAGATGTATTTCTGTAGTAAGTATGTGACAAAGTGGAGTGTGTATGAATGGTGGTGTGTTGTATACAAGTCATATAACCACCACCAGTCATATACACCCATACCTATGTTACATACCCATCTACTGTCGCAAGCACACATCCTGAGGTACATTGCTATACCAACAGCAAAGCCTCAACACTGGGTGAACTGCAATTGAAGCATCAGGTATGGGGTTGTTGTAGCTTTGGTTTAATTTAAAGTCTCTACTGTCATGCTTCTCAGGTCTCTGATGAATC